TTGGGTCATGATGGTTGTCAAGGGTTCAACTTCCACCCACTTGGTGAAGTAGTTTATTGCTACAAGTAGGAACACCTTTTATGCTCGACCGACCAAGAAAGGACCCAAATGTCCACTTCCTACTAAGCGAACAACCATATGGAGACAATGTTATGGAGCTCGACCGGGGGCACCCTAACATTGTTGCCATGCTCTTATAGTAGCAAACTTCTAGCTAGGTTGGACCAAAACTAGTAGAGAGGTTATGGTGTTTGGTCCCTTAGGTGATGTTGGTGTGGAATATGGTGGGCAATGGCCAAGGAATGCGTAAGCAATGGTTGGAGAAGGAAGAAGGCTCACGACCTTAGGTGGTGATATGGTGGTGTTGTGGTGTTTGGTGGATCAAAGAGAGGTTAGGCCAACTTGTAGAGGAAGGTGACTAGAGGGACCACATGGGATGCTCTAATCTTAATCTAAGTAGAGTATTATGGCTCATAATGGGTAACATAACATTACTCTAAATCAAAGGTGAATACATGAGAGGAGACACTTTTATTTATAGGCTAAGGGTGTCTCCTAAAAATCATAAAAACAAAAACTTTGCATGTCTTCCCTTCTAAGCATCTTTTGGTCGAGAAAGTGGCCCTCTAAGGAGTGGACAAGTGTCCACAAACCCTCTCTAATGAGGGAAGGACATGTGGCCACTAACTAGGGAGAATCCTCTCCATTTCTAGAATGTCATATGACCATTACTAAAGCTAAATCATCTCCAATGGAAGCATGACACGTGACATATATTTTCCACATGGTTTGGACAACTAAGCAAGGAAAAACCCTACACTAACTAGGCCTTAATACAAGCCTTAAAAAAACCTATACTAGTTAGTCGAAATACATGGCCTAAATTATTCTTCAACCCAAGTCAAAAGGCATCACGTCGTAGCATTCTTCATGGTTGTTTGATCAACACATTGTACGAGGTGTTTGCCTCCACCAGCAGGTACCTCACTCTCAACTCCTTTGTGTCACGCTCAGCTCCTAGCCTGGTCCTTAAATCCACATAGTCACGTGTGTCCACCCGATCGTTGGTGAACCCCACTATCTGTTCGTTATATGGTATGACCATATCTTTTGAAAGGTTCATCTTCTATAAAGTCTTCCAATAGAGGTTGTTGGCGGAGCTGCCTTAGTCGATGAGAACCTTACTCACACTGTACCGAACGATCTCGACCGTGATGATCATGTAGTTATCCTAATTAGGATTTGGCGCTTTGAAATCTTCACTCGTGAAGATGCTGAGTTGCATGGACCTAGGCTTGAAATCCACCAAGTGGAAGATGGTGAGGCTTCTTACTCATCAAATTATTAAAAATACTAAGTGTATTCCCCGACAACAGCGTCAAATTTGATATGTTGTCGTTAAAGCTATCACTAATAGAATATTTTAATACAATAATAATAATTTAAATACATATTACTATTTATTATCTATTTTATCTCATTTAAATATTTTTTCTAGGTATTACACAAAGCATCTTTTTCTCATCTCTCCTCACAAACCATTCCTTGTTGTTTAGAGGTTTGTTTTTCTCTTTCTCGCATTTTTTTTGTATGTTTAATATTTGTTCGCAATGAAAAAACACACATTGATGTGTTTTGGTCTTTGTCGCAGGTTCATCAAGGTCATGTGTTGTTCTATTGCTAAAGCCTTGGTTGATTGCTCACGCATTATCCTTCCATTATTTGAGCATTTCTCATTGTGTTGCCCATGTCATACACATGTAGCTTCCCATTTTTGCATTCCATTGTTTGAAGCATGTTCTAATTTTTATATAAGCTTCGATTGCTTTCAAAAGTATATCTGTGAAAAATATGCTTAGATTATTTAGTTCGTCTTAAAATGTTTTGATTAAACAGCTGAAATAAAATTTGAAATACCAAATTACTTTCTTGTACTGCTGTCACTTTATTGATTTTCACCTAATAGATATTGTATCCATATGATAGTAATATATATTTAAGGTTTAATAGGTTCGGAGGTCCCTATATTTGCGGGTTCGTTTCAGTTGGGTCCTCCAATTTTTAAAGTGATCAATTGGGTCCCTAATTTGGTAAATGTGATTCAATAATAGGATCTCCGTTAAATGTAGTTAACGTACGTTAACTTTGTTATGAAGTGGAAGCTGAGGCATCCAGGTGGCATCCTTCGTGGATTTTTATCATTTTTATTTTCCCTTCCATTCACACAGTTAACATCAAAGTAATGACCCTGCTGCTTCAAAATGTAGCTCTCAGAACGCCACTCCCACACCAGCAGCTGCCCCAATTTGGCGCAGCCAAATGTCAGCCAGTTCCCAAGCTCGTTAAACACAGCGGTGGTAATTTTCTCCTTTGAAATAGATAGCAAATGAATGCACACAAAATCTGGCATCTGATACAACCCAAACACACCATTAGAAAATCCAACAAACACCACATCTGATACAACCCCTATGATAATCACATGCTGTCACTTTTGCCCATCCCTGCATAAACCCATCCTTCCTCAATAACTCCCACTTTCCCTTACTCAGGTAACCCTCATCACCATCCTCAACATCAATTTTCTTCCTCTTCTTCACACCATCATTCTCAACAACCTCCAAATTCCTTTCCGCGTCCCTCTCCGGCGTCCCTGGCGAGGGCGGCTCCGAACCCTCAGCCTCACCACCACTATCAGAAGTAAAACCCCAGCTAAATAAGTAACAATCCCTAGTAATCGTATAAGCCTTACAAACTCTACTAGTTTTCGAATTGACACCGAAGAACGAACCTACAACCGAATCCCTGTGCCCTAGGAGCAAAAAGGGTTTTTTCTTTCCACCACTATTCAATTTCTTCAAGCACAAGATTCTCGCGGTTAAATCCTTGGACCCGACGATGAGGTACTTGGAGTCCGGGCTCCAATCGAGGGTGGTTACTTTCGCGTCGAACTCGGCGAAGGTGCGTACCAGCTCGAAGGGGAAGTACTCGCGGCGGAAGGCTAATATCCAAAAAGAAAAAAGTAGTGATCATATAAGATTTGTTCCTTACTTTTATAATCATAATAAAAACTTATGTAATAAGTTTACAAGTTGGGTTTTTTAGAAAATCATTGGATTTGTGGTTATTAACATTGTGTTAGAGTCATGTCAAAATCATGTCAAAGAAAAAAAAATATCTTTCAAATTGGACATTACCAATACATGTGTTAGATGAGTATCGTACGCATGTTGGTGTCTGATACGTGTTAGACACTGGGCATGCCATTTATGAGGCATGTCCGAGCTATATGTGGGTTTGCTTTTTTATGGTATGAGTGGTGTCATAGTTATGCAGCATGTCTCAGCTGCAAAATGAACAATGTTGTGATGCCAGCATGGCTGTGCTTGTTGGGACTAGTCAAAAGGTTAGCTAGCACACAGTCAGCCCAGGGGGGCTCTGGGGCCGAGTTCTGGTGGGAGGTTAGGATCCAATTGTATATGGAACCCGGGTTCCACATTAGAAGTGTGGGATTCTAGTTTGGGGTCTATAAGACTTGGGCTCTCCAATTGCTATGGCTAGCTTGGTGGTGGGTTCACCTAAGATTCTTATCAAATTGCTTCATTAAATAACACCAACAAATATCTATTTTTTGAGAAATAAAATTGTTAGAAAGCATCTCCTAGTTAGGGAAATATCTCATATTTAGAGTTGTATTTCTATGCTAATTCACAATATCTTTAGAATATGATTTGGTTTTATTGTGATTTGAATGTTAGTTGACAAGGGTTTCCTTGTTTCATATAATTAGACAACGTTACTAGTATTAGTCTGTATATAAATTCATCTGCCGAGGACCTTAATTCCTCAACTCAATCATATTCTGTCTCAAATAAATTATACATGAGCATAAACAACCTATTCAAGTGGACCTCCAATATCTTCTGATTTATGAGACTATGATAGAGGTATAAGTTCTATAAGATTATACGGGAAATTGTAATTCTGTATACTAGTAATTTAATGGTTTAGTTGATTGTCATCTTCCAATATTGATTAATTACTCTGAGAAGGAACATATTGTGATCAAATCGATTGAAGCATGATGACAGAGTGAGAAGATGTGAACATGACACACTAAAGGCAGTAACAGAGTTAATGGATCTATTTTAGGCCTTAAAAGTCAAACTCCTTTAGGGAGCAAAAAAGTGTTGGCCACATCAAATAAGAGGACTTGTTGGGAAATTTCTGAGTTTTGACTTTTGGTTTGGAACGAATGCAGTCTGGGGATAAAGTGGTATTTTATACCACTAAAGTGCTTTTAATTAAATTCTTACAACTAATCAAGTATGGCCTGAAAAGTTGAATTATCTTCCCTACTCGATTTCTTCAGTCACTTATTTGGGTTACTTTATTTATTATGGGACTCTGAACTGAAATCATTACACTACCATGCACGTATCTGTCTCTTTTATTTCCATCTTATGAACTCTAATTCTGCTATTATGACACTGCTTTTTACTGTATTGCTGTTTTATTGTGTTTTATTATCATATAGAGATGTGTTTTATTATCATATAGAGATGTTCATTTGCAATGTGGTTCATGCATTTCAGGCAGATTTTGCTACTTCTGCTGTAGACTTTTTGCATAGGGTTGGTCGTACAGCTAGAGCTGGTCAAATTGGACTTGTTACTAGCATGTACACCGAATCCAATAGGGAACTTGTCGATGCAGTTCGTTGGGCAGAGAAACGTGGTCAACCTGTGGTAAATTTTAATATTCATTGGCCTTACACATGCAATGGAAAGAATACCAATTGTGGTTGTTCCAAGAAAAATAATTTTGTAATTGTAAAATTGGGTCTTGAGGATTACAGTTGATGCTGGTCATGTATGATGCCGGAGTTAACTAAGGACATTTAACATCTTCACACATTATTAAACACTATAAATCATTGATGAATTCAAATACTTGTGAGTAATAGTTGCCAATTACCACAGGAAACTCTGCATTTAGCCGAAAAGAAGCTTCCGCAACAAGCTCAAGAAGAGGGGTAAACTTTTAACACTTAGTACTACAAAGTTTTAAAAGAAACATTCTATATGAATATGTTATCCCTAAATATTGATGATCAGCGAATATGTTAAGTTTATGAGTAACAGAAAATGCCTTGAATCTTGTCCCAATTGTCATCTTGTATTTGTAACAGGTACTAACAAAGTCACAGATTCAACAACTGTTAAAGAGAGGGCACTGGCATGAGGATACTAGAATGCACTAAGTATGTAAAACAGCATCCTCCAATGACAAGGTGAAGAACATTATGGGCCTCTGCATTTAAAAGGTATTAGTTGTTGCATCTAAATGGCTCACAGTATATGACACTCATTTAACGCATCCTGCCATTTCTTAAGGATCATGTAATTTCCATGAAGCCGACTTCCATATCAGAGTTAGAATTAATGCAGACAACTATTTTTGTAATGAGCAGTGTCTTATCCAAACTTAGTTTCTGGAATGGCATTTTCCCATCATCTTTTAAGGTATCTTAAGTATGGAAAATATCAATAGTGTGTCTGCATGTGTCCAAGTTCCTAGCAAAGTTCATGATTGTGGGAAACGTTTACAGGAGCTGTTGGTTTACCTTCGTTCCTATAATTTTTTTTTCATGTAAATTATGAGCGATTGTATTGCTCTCTTATTTTTTCCTCAGTACTTATAACTGTAGCTTAAAGATTCCAAGCAGCGAGACCTATCAAATACCACAGATTTGTTTACATGTATACATTGTTGATGGGTACATTTTAATAGACTCGGTTAATTTTTGTGTGGCACAATTCAAATTATCATATCTCTATGTTTTCGAGAGTTGAAGTTTGTATGTTTTAGAAATTGAAGTCTGAGTGGTAAAATTAATCATACTTTATACAAAAGAGTTCACATGATGGTCCATGTATTTGGATATTTAAAATTGTAGGGAAGGTAATTCCTTATTTGTGTGTAAGAAAGCGGGGGGGGGGGGGTTTTTTTTTTTTTTTTTTTGGGGAATGTCTCCTAAACTTGGTAATCCTTTCACTATCTTTTACATTAAAATTCTTTTTATACTTCCTAAAGGTATGATGAAAAATGTAACTCATTTTATGATTTTCTTTCTTATACGTAGATATTTCATTTTAATAACATTTTATTCCTATAAATCAAGATTAAATTTGGAAGTTATAACTATACAATATGTCCTACAGTTACACGAATTTATAATTTAGTTAATAAAATATATTCATCTCAACAAATATTAATGATTTTGTAATTATAAAAAACTTCAATATTTCATATTTGTAGGACTGCTCATATTTGTATGGGTGTTTGAAAATTACTTTCTATGTAAACTTTAATGTGGATGGTAACACCAAAGGGTGTATTAGTTTTGTTGAATGTGTAGATATTTTTAGAAGTAGAGTTGAATGTATGAGAAGTTTCTCTTCTTATGTTGAAATTAATATTACTCTAAACGTTGAACTTATGGATGCTGTTATTAGAGGTTGAACTTCATTATGGTTGGAAAATAACTTAATGTTGATTATTTAGATTCAAAGGTTTCCCATATCTTTTATGAAGACAAAAAAATGTACTAACAAATGACCAGTTTGAATGTAAAGTTTAAATGAAAATTGATCAAAAACTTTTCTCACATGTCTTACGATTTTATAGATTGCAGCTTATAAAATGATGAAAACAACAATTTTTAAAATCGACTCCACTGGGGATCGAACCCAGAATCTCTGGTTCCGTAGACCAGCGCCTTATCCATTGGGCCATGGAGTCTTGTTTGATATAAGATTTATAACTAAGGTTTTATGAACAAGTATTTTTTAAGGTTACCCTTCATATAGGTTGATATGTTAGCATTTTTCTTATCAATAAAAGAATTGGGCAATGGATGCATACATATTTATGAACATGTCGTAACTTTTCTTAATAATTGACTGCTTTTTAAGTTTTCCCCCTACTACTTTACATTTATCAATTAACTTAAGATATTATTCACTTTATATCTGTATATTTTCAATTAATTATCAATTGTTCAACTAACCTATAGATTAGTTTTTATAAAGATGCTGTAAGAGTATACTTCCGCCTTCTCCATTGCATTTGTCACTTTAAGATTAATGTCACACGGGTCAATAAACATCTAATAAATGTAAATTTGAATTATTCCTTTATTTAATAGCATATGTCCTAATGCTTAGTAATAATAACTTGAAATGTTTACTTATCTCAACTATTCCCAATAATAATAGTTGTTTGAACTACTATTTGTCATCAACTTATTGTCTGCATTTACTTTTATATTCTGTTTTATTAATCATTTGGACCCATCGACCTTATTTAAAATATAATTAATTCTTTGTACTCTTGTATTTCATATTTCATAATAAAAAGCAGTCATTACTACTCTTAGATAAATTATGAATAACAATGAATTAAGAGATATAATAAACAAAAAATAAATTTTGAAAAATCTTCAATTTTAACCTATATTGAATGACTGATTAACCAGGTATTATAAAAATAAGATCAACATTTTTTAAGAAGAATTTTACTCGTGCATGTCATTGGAAATATGATTTCTGTTTGCTGTATAGGGTTGATTAAATCATAACATTAAATGCTATTTTCAGACTCAAATATATCCAATGACGAATTAATACTTCACCCGTTCATTTCTTTAATGTCACTTAAGTTTTTGTACTAAAACCTAAAAAAATACTACTTTTACTTTTGTAACATTTTGGCTTTAGGTTTGATCAAACAGAATAAAAGCATTGATTTTTTATAATTTATAATAATCATTTTTATTATTTTAGATAAAACATCACTGAAAATATGCATTTTTCTATTTGTATAATATAGTGTCAGCTTTTTATTTTTCTACACACACAATTATATCTCCCTTTCTTACATATATTTTTTTCTTTCCATCAAAACATCTATAAAATCGAGTTGTCTTCGTCCTAATGAAAATAATTATGTTAGTTTCTGTTTAAGATTAAAAAATAAAAGTACAATTAGTTAAAAATACCCATTATATATTATAGAACTTTGATCTTCAAACAAAAATAAGTAGAAATATTTTTTTTTGAAAAAATAGAGAGAATATAGCTTCTTTTTATTTTAAGTTTATTTTGTCCTATTAACTCTGCGCTTCGAATCCATTGCTTTTCTGGATGTCCTCTTTTTTGCGATAAGGGGTTTGATCTGCTCTTTATCTCCTCTATGGAAAACACTTGTCGGCTGCCTGTCGTGAGTTACTTTCCCTCCCATGGGTTAAATTTCTCCCGAAATCATAACTACTATTGGACTCCATGTTTATTCTTGTACATAGCGACACATGTTATGTGGATGGAACGAGATAATGAAATACATTTGTCTATCCTCCCAGTTGACTTTTTAAATAGAATGTTTTAAATGAGAGTAAGTTATTTTATTTTCCAATCTGGGTGATTTTCATATGTGTTTTCGTTGGTAATTGAGAACTTGATTCTCTCCCTCCTCCATTACCTTTAGAATAGTTGTATTTGTGTTTTGAATTCACTAGTGCATGAATTGACCTTTAACGTCACTCAATAGACGGTCGGTCCACCAAACCCCAACGTAAATAATTGATCGGTGGCATAAATGTAAATAATTGAGTGTGGAGACGTCCGTTCTGGAGAGGGACTGACGTCCATAATATTGTAGACGTCCGGCCCCCTCCGGAAACAAACGTTCATAGGCGACGGAGGGCTTGAAGAAATGATTGCTTAAGCCTTCTGAACGTCCGTTCTGGGAGGGGGCCGACGTCTACAATATTATATGACGTCCGGCCCCCCCATCCAGAATGGACGTTCAAAGGCTGAAGCAACAACTCTTCAACTCCCCTGTCAGTCTCTTGAACGTCCGTTCTGGAGGGGGCGGACGTATATAATATGTAGACGTCCGGCTCCCTCCAGAAGGACTTCAAGAGACTGACGGGGGGTTTGAAAGAGTTGATTGCTTTCAGCTTGTAGACGTCCAGCCCCCACCAGAACGGACGTTCAAGAGACTGACGGGGGGATTTGAAGAGTTGATTGCTTCAGCTTGTAGACGTCCGACCCCCTCCAGAACAGACGTTCAAGAGACTGACGGGGGGAGTTGAAGAGTTGATTGCTTCAGCTTGTAGACGTCCGGCCCCCTCCAGAATGGACGTTCAAAAGGCTAACGAGTTCAACTACCCTGTCAGCCTCTTGAACGTCCGTTCTGGAGGGGGCCGGACGTCTATAATATTGTCGACGTCCGGCCCCTTCCAGAACGGACGTTCAAAAGGCTGACAGGGGGAGTTGAAGAGTTGATTGCTTCAGCCTTTTGAACGTCCGTTCTGGAGGGGGCCAGACGTCTATAATATTATAGACGTCCGACCCCCTCAAGAACGAATGTTTAAAAGACGTTTAAAAGAAGGGACATATATACCAAAACGCGAACCCGCGAGGAGTTACGCGCTTTCCGTGAGAGTGTCCTTTGCGCCTTACATTCCCCCTCCAGTTTGGTTTTTATTTGTTTGGACCATTATATCTTTACTTTTATTCCAATTAAATTGTTCAGTGATGAATATCTTTCATTTGACCGATTAAAAATCGTTTTTGGTGCGTTTTGGTGCAGTTTGTTCCGTGTTCTTGGGCGGCGTTTTTTGGCCTACGTTTTATCGTCGTGCAGTCCTCCATTTCCCTCCATTTTCATTTTGAATCTGCTCTTCAGGTTAGTTTCTTCGTTAATAATTTTTTGATAGCGTTTTGTGTATGCATGTTTTTGACATGTTATTATAATTTTCATTGAGTGACCCTTAGACGTCTGGCAGTGCACAAACAGACGTCCAAACCCCGTAACCCTAAATAACCCGTTCAACCATATAGACGTCCATTCCGACACAAACGGACGTCTATATAGACGTCTGTTGTGTCGGAACGGACGTCTATATAGACGTCCGACTTGCACAACAGACGTTGGTTAACGTCACCCACAAAAGACGTCAGGTGCATGTCGGACGTCAAAAGGCCAAAATAACAGACGTCTAAAGCCCTTTCTGCACTAGTGATTGTTTTGGAATTAAAATTGTAGGAGTTTAGGTTCATATCAATAGTTTTTTATCCTAATTTTATGTCAATTCTAGACATGAGGATTAATTTACTTAGTTTTGTTTCTCTTATAATATGGAAGTATAGATATAATATCGAGTATATTCTTTCTTCTCATTGTTAATCTATTTACAAGATTACTCTATTCATTATATTTATTAATAAGACACTCCTTTAAATATTACTTTAATATTATTAAAAGTATTTTAAGTGCATTAACTTTTATATCATAATTTGTTTATTAAATATAGGTTTAATAGGTCGGAGGTCCCTATATTTGCGGGTTCGTTTCAGTTGGGTCTCTCAATTTTTAAAGTGATCAATTGGGTCCCTAATTTGGTAAATGTGATTCAATATAGGATCTCCGTTAAATGTAGTTAACGTACATTAACTTTGTTATGAAGTAGAAGCTGAGGCATCCAGGTGGCATCCTTCGTGGATTTTTATCATTTTAGAAATTATTAACCAATGCTTCTCATTAATGTTCTGAAACTGGGAATCACCACCAAGGCAAGAGAAGCAACCAAGAACCCTACGGTGTTCAAGAATTTCCTGGTTTTGGTGACAGATATGTTTAAGAGAAGCAACCAGAACCATGAAGTTAACATCGCCGTCGCCACCAGAAAGCTTGTCCAGATCTGGCGCTCTCCGGCCTTCCGCCGC